AAATGAAACTAATTTTCTCACCACATCTTTTGATTCATTTTGTCCAGCATTTGCAAGCTGTAGACTCTGCCTAGTCAGAGCCATATATTGTATAATTGATGCTTTCAGTTTTCAGTTGAATTAATTCAATCCAAGTCAATGGAACACTCACAAGATGTCACCAAAATCACACTGTCCCTTTAAAATCTTTCAGAAAATGATGTAAGTGTATCGAATTATATCGAATTATATCGAATCGTATCGTTGGCTGAATATCGTGATATATATCGTATTGTGAGCTGAATATCGTGTATCGTATCGTATCGTGAGATTAGTGTATCGCTACAGCCCTAGAGACAATTCAGTTTTGACTCACGCAAGGGAAACTTCCTATTGTTTTTCTTTCTTCCACATAAAGGTAAATGTCACGGTCAGCTGTGAAGTCCAGTTTTAGATTTTACATCTAATTTAATACCAACATACTTAAAGTGTATTGTTTTTATGTCAAGTAGTGTACAGGAGATGTTTCTTTCCTCAAATGTTAGCTCGTATTCCCACACTAATGTGTCCCTTTTCCAACAAAACATTTGATTTGGTAGTCTGGAGTAGAGAGAGGGAGGACTTTCCCAAAATCTTTGTGATATCTTAATCCACTATAACATTTTTCTGTGATTTGTGTTTTAATTAGTTGTCTTCCTATCTCCTTTCCTCATGTTAAACACAGTTAAACTACTTTTGAAATAGAATAAAGCTATTTTCATTATCTACTCATTCTACCCACAGAGGGTTATCATAGATATAAGAGAAAGTTGGAATGGTTCTTCTAAAATAACTCTTGTTTTCTCTTTTAAACATCTTTGTCTCAGGCCAAATGTTTTCCAATTGGCAGACTAAAATATGGTCATGGGATTTTCCTTCAACCCATCCATCTGAGTCTTCTTATCTTCATGTTTCCTCCTTTCTTTAAGACAGGCTAACAAGAAGTTGTTTTTGCCAAAGTCTCCTGTTATCTCTTCTTTCTCCTTTTCACCTCCAGTACCAGGGAAAGGGGAGAGTGTTCCCAAAAAAGTCAAATCACTAACTTGGCCATCATCTCTGCATTGTTAGTCTCTTTCTGCACTTCACAAGACCTTTTTTTGTATCAGTGGCCTTATTCTCTTCTCATGTGTATTCTCCCTCCATCTTTCAGGACAACAAGGGGTTTGGCCTCGGTGACCTGGTGTGGGGGAAGATTAAGGGTTTCTCCTGGTGGCCCGGCATCGTGGTGACGTGGCGCGCTACCGGCAAACGGCAGGCCAGCCACGGCATGAGGTGGCTGCAGTGGTTTGGAGACGGCAAGTTCTCTGAGGTGAGGACGGAAAAGAAAATTGTTATGGAAATGTACTGAGACTATATGTCCTAACAAAGAACTGTATACTGACAAAGAACTGTCCTATCATCATCACCTTAAATTAGTCCTGGAGACATTTAAATATCACACTATTTCTCATCACTAACCCATTATAGATATTATGAGGATATTGTTAAGTAGACTATTGGTGCTTTCACAATATATTTCGTAACAACATTTATGATAAATAATCCTCAGTAATGTGGATTTAATTACTAAGTGGTCGAAGGCAGTTTGACGATCATGTAGAACAGTTGGGTTAGTTCAGAAAATGACTTCACTTTACTGTAATCCAGCTTTATAAAACCAGGAATAGACACTTATGGCATTTCACAATATCCAAATGATATGTAGTCTCTTATCTTATCAATATAAAATTGATATATTGCCCAGCCCTAGTTCAAACTGTGGGAGAACACTGTTGTCTAACCTGTGTAGTTCCTTGGTTTGCTTTATTTGTCCTAGCTAGTTGAACGTGGTTATTTGTATCACTTTTGGTTGTTGTTATTATCTTTCTGGAGCAGATGCCCCCATCCTGCAACCACAAGGTTCAACGCTTTCCTATAAAGCTATGCAGCTAGAGGTTTCTCTGTGTCGGTCACTGCAGATTGATTCTGTTTATTTAAACCCCTCTGCAAGAGTTTTATCTTTAGTAAACATAAAAAGACATGTTGTTGGTTGACAAGTTCAGCATTTTTGTAGGAGGGACGGAGAGGGACATTTTGTTAAAGTTGTACTTGGTTTGATGCTGTGTGTTTTCTCTCCAGGTTTCTGCAGATAAACTGGACTCCATCACCGCCTTCCCCAAGTTCTTCAGCCAGCCTTCCTACACCAAGCTGGCCTCGTACCGCAGGGCCATCTTCCAAGCTCTGGAGGTGAGTGTCGACGTGTGGAAAAAACACTTAGTCGTTACTTGAACTGTCTCTTTCTTCTCCTATTTCTTCTTCTCCTATTTCCTCTGCTTCATCTTCTTCTTCTTCTTCTTCTTCTTATTTTTCCTTTCTTTTTGTCTTTCTTCTTTTTAGTTATTTTCCTATTTCATCTTCTTGTTTTTTTAAGTGTCTCCAATAATTTTGACTGTATGTAGTTTTGTGTGTGTGTGTGTGTGTGTGTGTGTGTGTGTGTGTGTGTGTGTGTGTGTGTGTGTGTGTGTGTGTGTGTGTGTGTGTGTGTGTGTGTGTGTGTGTGTGTGTGTGTGTGTGTGTTTGTGTGTGTGTGTGTGTGTGTGAGTTTGGGTATGAGTTTGGGAGGTGTTAGCGGCTTATTACGTTAAAGATCTGCTGCAAAAAAAGGCTGTTTGAAAAACTGATTCAAGAATGTTTACGGTTTGTGTGTGTGCCGTGCCAAATAAACAAACACTGCATGTCTAAAAGAGGTTCCTACTCACTATCACTGTCTCATCATGTCATGAAATGAGATTGAAGAGGGGAAAAAATTATAAATGGGAAAACGAATACCTTTTGGGCATTCACGCAAAAAACTCCAAACGTGTGTAAAAGACAGACAAGTCCTAACTTGTGTTTGGAAACCCCTCATAAGTTTTACTTTCTTTCTTTCGTTGCACTTTCGTGTTTTTACTACAGTGATGTGTGTTTTTGGTAGGGCTGCTCAATTAATCGTATTTTAATCGCGGTTACGATTGTGGCTTGCAACGATTACGAAAACAACA